GCGGGTGGGATCCAGCAGCATGAGCCATGCCCGCAGAGAGCTGATGAGGGTCTCCAAGATGATCAGGGGGTTGGGTTCCTGCAGAGCCTGGGAGGCAGCCTGAAGAAACTGCTGCACGAGGTGCAGCGCAAGCTGCAATAGCCATCGACTGCCCAAAGGCAGCTCTGGCTCCATAGCTGGAGTGCTGAAGTGTCCGTGAAGGCAACCACAGCAGGCAAAGGAATGGGTTTGCTGTCCCTCAATGAGGTAGGCAAAAGAGAAGTACCTGAGACACTGCTGTACAGTGGGGGTCCCTTTAAGCACGAGCCTCAGATAGCCACAGGCAGCAGCCATGGGACGTGAGTGCTGTCTGGATGCCCTGCCTGAAGTGCTTCTGGGTGACCTTAAAAGCAATTCAGCACCGGTAAACCCTTGCACCGGTATAATGTCTCATCATTCTAGTGTAAACTAGCCATAAACAGTATTTCACTGTCTCAAGTTCAACCAAACCAGGACACGTCTTTCGAAACAAATGTCCACGCACAGACTTGAAGCAAAATAACAAAAGATGTGAATTAAGTCAGTGGAGTTATTTCAGCTCGTTTGCGTGAACCAGCTTTGTGTTGTATCTAGCTGCTTATATTGTCTTTACATTTTCAGTATTATGTGTTTGGCACCAAATCTTCTGCTCTGTTGACCCATTTAGATTTAACTTTATGGGGCTCAATGAAAATTCTATAATTGCAACATTGTGGAATTCTTTAGTAAACTCAAGGAGCAAGGATGGGGGGGACCCACAGGTGCAGAAGACCCATAGATGAGTTCCAGCAGGAGCACCGCACGACACTCCAATCCTTGGAGCAGACCCTGGATTGGAGACTGCAGAAAGACATCTGGCTGGCGGGAGATGCTGGAGCAGGGCCACACCATGTGCACAGCAGTTTAATCCCTGATCCCCAGCATGCTGCCTGCTCCTGCCCCTGATGCTTCTCCCCTAACCTACCTCTCAGTGGCCGCCAAGTCCCCGCACCCATGGCAGTGGGATCACCAGAGCCAGGTGCAACTCCTAGACTCAGCCCTAAGTCTCTTCTTCCTCTCCCTGCTTTTTCTCTTGCCCCTCCCTGGTTCTTTCTCCTGTCCCTCCCCAGTAAGTTTGACCCCAAATAAAAAAAGCAAAGAGTTTATTTTTTCCAAGTAGAAAAGTGTGTTTTATTTTCTCTGCATGCGAGGGGGGAAGGAGGAAAAGGAGAGGTGGGGGAGGAAGGCACAGAGGGGTGAGGCACAGGCCCCTAGTGAGGAGATCCAGGGGAGAGTGTCACTGGGGTCCTTGTGAGAAACTCTCCCTCAGGGCCTCGCTGATGCACAAGGTCCCTTGATGGGCCTGCCAAATGGCAGCCGGATGTGACTGCCTGGAGGGCTTGCTGCA